ATATTAAATTTCGTTGTTTTGTAATTTGTTTATGATAACATTATGGTTTCAAAGAAGTTGTTTTGTAATTTGTTTATGATAACATTATGGTTTCAAAGAAGTGAATGTCACTTGATGATTTTAAGATAAAGATTGTAATTGCTTAATATATTTTAAAAAAATGAAAAATATTTTGGTCATTTTCGGGACGTTACAAGTTGGTATCAGAGCCTTAATATGAAGGATTTGGGTGCGCCTTACAATGTGTCTAAACTCAAACTGAGGACTAAAAAAATTTCTAAATAATTTTTTGAAAGAGAATGTTTTTATTTAAGAAAATTAAGCACTTAGTTGGGTCAAGAACATGAGCTCGGTTATTTGCCATGTTCTTATTTGATTGTTGGCTTGCGATCGTGAACATGGTATCTTGAACTAACTTTGATTTATAAAAGGAGAATGTGATGCGTACAGTCAGTCGAATCTTAGGAAGTAAGTGATTCCCAATATACCCATATGGTTATGTATTTATGATATGGATTGTTATGCATTTTAGGTTTAGGCTAAGGATTTATCCAGGAATTACATGCTAGAATTGTATGAGTTGTATAGATGCCTCGTATTTCTTATATGTGCTAAATGATGAATGTGTTGTGGAATCTTTGACTGATATTAGTGAAGTCCTTGTTTGACATTCTGGGTTTATGGGAAGTGAAGAATCCTAGAAAAAGCCTAGGAAGTGTAGTATTATACATATGGCTAGACGTATGCATGTGTGTGAGGAGTTTAATGGAGTGATGCGAAGTGATTTTGGAGTCTTGGAACAATCCTTGGAACATGTATGGATAAGGTGAGGAAGGTAGTAATGGGTGCATACTACTGAAAGTATAAGATCCATACTTGGGTCAAGGAAATGTTATAGGAATACCAAGGAACTTGTAGGTGGGTGTGCATAGTGTGGGTTAACACTATGCATTGTTTATGACCTGTTCTTATTGTCTTTCAGATTCAGTATGGTGACTATTCATGATGGAGGATCGAGCTCTAGTATGGGCGATGGTGGCCTAGGAGGTCCAAGCTTGAGTAAGAGGGATGTATGTAACATCATCGCTACTGCGGTTTCGAGGATCATGTTAGAGGATTTGCCTAACATAGTATGGGATGAGTTGATTTCAGTGATGTATGAGCGGATTAGGACTCTTCTGGCTAATTTGGAGGTCAGTCAACTCAGGACTCGTGAGGTCACCATCAAGGAGTTTTATGCTTATAGGGATCCATGTTTCATCGGGGGGGGGGGGGGGGAGCCTATCATCGATACGTAATGTATTTTCGATGTGGAGAGTGCCTTTCATTCTAGATTTTGTTGAGCGGAGGCCAATGTCAAATTTTTAACATGTCATTTGCGTGATGAAGCTAGGGATCGGTAGTGCGAGGTTGTTCAGGGCCTCAAACCAGGTGTAGAAGAGTCTATGAACTAGGAGATTTTTCTTACCAAATTTAAGAGGGGTTTCGTGCTAGCAATTGAGGTTCAAAAGTTGGCTCGGGAGTATCTGGCGCTTGAGCGGACTATAGAGATTGTGGCTGAGATCGCCGTGAAGTTTAAAGGGAGTGAGCATTTCATGTCCCACAATATGTGTCTATAGAGGAGACGAGGATGATTCACTACCATGATATGTTGAGGATGGAGATCTGAGAGTTCATAAGAATTTCTAGCCATAAAGCTCTTCCCGACTTAGTGGAAGCAGCCAGAGACAAAGAGCTGAAGTTAGAGACCCAACAATGGAAAAGGGGGGATGATCAGTTTCACGCATCAACAACAACAATCAATAAGACTAGAGTGACTGACGTTCGATCAGGAGAGTAGGAGATTCACATATTTTGTGGCAAATGTGGTTTGTCACATTGGGGTATTTGTAGTAAGCTAGTTTTAGGTATTTTAGATGCAGCTATGAGGGTCACTATAGTCGGGACTATGGTCAGAGGGAGTTGAGGGTATGTTTCCTTTTCATTTAGTCTGGCCATGTTAAGGCCAATTGTCCATAGAGAGCAGATGGGTTGGTTTTGGACCCATCACCTTTAGCTTGACAATTACCGGATAGACGACATGGGACAATTGGAGTTCCGAAGGCTAGGTTTTGAGTTTTAGTTCCTTCAGTTCGGATAGGTACAACATTCAAAAATATCTTTTCTGTTTATTTATTTGTTGTTTTATTGTAATCTTAGATGATCTGTTGAATGGTATTTAATTTTATTGACTTTGGTTTGTATTGAATGATTATTTATGATTGGATTGTTTGTTGTTGTGGGGGTTCTATGTAACGTCCGTAAATTTGGGCTAGTCAATTTAGAGGTAATAGGGGTCGAAAATGACTCTTTGACAAAATATTATTTAGAATAAATAATCTTAACCAAGTTGTAGAATATGTCACAAGGTTTCCGTACATATAAAGAGCGTCGAAATTGGAGTTATAACGAAGAAATTATGACCTGTCGAAGTTTCGCGACGGAACCGGCATGGCACCGGGAAGCGTAAATAGTGATTTTACGATGGAGGACTTTTTAGTCTTAGTGATCTAAATGAAAGTCGTATAATATGTTAAACTGAGAAAATCCATAAAAAGAACGCCCAAATCTGACTTCGTATGAAGAAGTTATGATTTTTCTAAGATTCGGCTTAGCAGTGCACGACCCGAAACTCGAATTTTAGTTCGAGCGGTTTTTGGCTTACATGAATTAAATGAGAGTTGAAGATATCATTAATAGGAACTTAAAAGTAAAAAGACAGATGAAAACAGAGTCCATATGAAGGAGTTACGAATTCTTCGCGGTCATTTAACAGTCTAAACGCCTCGTACTATTAAATTTAAGATCGGTCGAAAATTAGCCGACGAAGTCAAAATGAAAGTTGTTGAAATTATTTTTACCTATGCATGGATATAAAAAACGTCAAAAACGGAGGTTGTACGTGAAAGTTACGGATTTTAGAAGTCGTAAGTGTGGTGTGCGAAAATGGGTGATGTGGCACAATTTTGGCCATTGCTTTCTCCCCAAGTCTTGCCACTAGATGGTGACATGTGGCACCAAGTTCAGCCATTTTTACCCTATAAATAGAACCTCTCCCACCCTCATTTTCTTCACACCTTTCACATTCTTTGTTCTCTTTACTCTCTTTCTTTCTCTCTCTCTCTAGAACCTCTCTCTAGCCTCGAAACCCCCCGAAAAGCCTAGGGAACCTCCCTAGCACAAGGTGGAAGCCCCTGAGTGCTCGACGGCTCAGAGAAGAAGAGCTTTTCCGCATGCGAATGCTGCTCTAAGCAAAGCCTGGTTTCTATAAAACCCGCTGTAAGTGAGCTACGCCTACGCTATTTTTAATATAGTTTTTATTTAATTATATTAACGTTATTAAGAACATATAATAAGTAATTGGGCTATTATTATGGGTTATATAAGTATTATTTAACGGTTATATAATAGTAATAATATTTATACTATTAATTAGTCTCGGTGAATAATAGACTAAACTCTAATGGTAATAATACTAGGTTTCGTCGAAGGAAACTATTTTTTTCAAGAAGTGAAGCGCTGTCTGAGTTCGGAATCACCACCTTTTCGAGTGAGTGCATAGTTACTTTCATCTTACACCTAGATATGAAGTATTTTATATAAACTACGTGCTATGTGTGCATATTATCTGTATACTTGCTGTCTATGTTGGATGAACGTTTTTATACATGTTTTAGATGATTTAAACTGTATACGTATTTTATATACACGAATATGTTGGGTATGATACGGGTAGATGAATGATGAGAGATAAAAGATGATGTGAGTAAACATTGGCAGCTATAGACTTAGTGCCTAACTAATAAACATCGGCAACTATGGACTTAGTGCCTATTGGACAAACACCGGTAGCTATGGATTTAGTACCTGTTAAGGAATTGGTAGCTATGAACTTAGTACCTATTAGATAAACACTGGTAGCTATGGATTTAGTACCCGATGAATAGATTATAGCAGCTATGGAATTAGTGCTTTATGAACGAACATTGGCAGCTATGGATTTAGTGCCAGTCCTATAACCCTGGAAGTAAGGGACTTCGGAATAAACGAATGCAGAATAGATGACTCTTAGGATAAATCCTTAAGAGTAAAGAAGATAATGGGGATGGGTAATTGGGTTGATTTTTTGATTGTTTAAACATAATAATTATATTATTGTGGGTTGAAAACCCTATGTACTCACCAGGTTTCCCAACCTGACCCACTCAGTTTATTTATATCATAGGTGTTGATATGAAGTCACATTACACTGAGAGATTAAAGATATGTAGACCACTAGTGTAAATAAATGTAAGTTCTGTTTATGCTTATGTTCCTGTATTGACGATGACATCCCAAACGTTTTAAAATGAATAAAATACGTTTCTTCGAAAATGTTTTAATAACGTATTTATCGTGTTTTTCTGGGAACAAATTCCGCAACATTTTTATTAAAAGAAGAACTCTGATTTTTATAAAGAATAAACAAAATCGGTCTTTTCTGGCGGTGAAAATAGGGATGTCACATTCTAGATGTAAGCCAAAGCTCTTTGGCCATTGTTAGAGGGATTCAGATTCTCTTATGTCTTTTAATGTTGGTTGTAGTTATTAGGAGCCAAGTAGTGTAGTTATATGGATTGGCCCAAAATTTTGAATGGTTATGAAGTCATAGGAGTCTAGCTAATTCAAAGTGGGGGAGAGTCACTTATCAGGACACATGATTATTGAGTTACAAGTTAGATTGAAGTTTGTATTCAAGGTTAAAAGGTAGCATGTTTAGATTCTTGTCAAGAATAAGGCTCGTGTGGGAGTTACAGTTCATATACCAGTTTGCGACAAGAGGAAAAGGTGATAAAGACTTGACGTTATCTCGATTGGAGGATTAGAAGCATCAGAGGGAGGATTAGGATAGGGTTAGGAATTGAGCTCAAGTTGATGGTTGTGTAAGGGCCTCTCTTCCTATTCTTGTTTGAGGAAGGCATTGGGTTCGAAGCACGGTCTAAACACCTTATGGGGTCAAGTAGACTACGTGCCCGTCTCATGTCAGTTTATGGTTGTTATCTTTGTGGTTTTGTTTGAATATCATGGTTGAGTCCATGGAAATTGTAGGATTCTTGTAAGACTATGATTTGGCCCGTAGTATTTACTTGGGATGAAATAGACCCATTGGCTAAAATAGGTCGGAAGTATTTGTAAGACTATATGAGGACCATATTATTCATATGGTTGAAATAGATTGTTGGGAAGGACTCATTGGCTGAAATAGGCCATTGCAGGGGTGATTGTAAGACTATGATTTATCCTGTATCATTCAATTTGGTTGGAAGAAACACGCCATTGTTTTGCTTAGTTATTTTTGTACGTTTATATGTAAGGGCTATTAGAGCCGAGTGGGTGTGTAAACTAATTTGGTCTCTATATTTTCCGTTACTTGTATAGGTTTCCTTCTTACGTCTGCATGCGAGGTTGTGAGCGATGGTGGTTGGTTGTGGATTTTATTACCCAATTATCAATTGGAAAACGTAAGGTTGGGAGATCTTGGCTTTATAAAATATGTGAGTTATTGGGCAGCATGGTTGATGTATGGGGTGGCTTTGTCCGCTTGGAAGATATGCACGATCTTGGAGTCTTTAAATTATGGGTATACGATTAGCTTTTCTCGATGTTGGTTAGTTGTTATGTGTTTAGTGGTTGTTTTTTCATTGTGTCACATGCTTCTCGTTAAGGATTGAATTGACTTTTGGTTCAGAAGGAGGTCATTTATTTAGAGGAACATCCCAGTACTATAGTGGATGAGATTTCAACATTTGGACGTTTTCGCACAGGAATGGACCTTAAGTCTAGATTTGGGATTCTTCTGAACGTAGTTGTAGACTCTAGTGACAACAATCATGTCGGTTCATGTATAGGGTAGTGGGCTTGGAAAACCTATAAGAGGATTGTAAGGTGTTTAGGGAGTAATTGATAAGGACAAATTTCAAGGACGAAATCTAATTTAAGTAAGGGAGAGTTGTAACACCAGATCTCCGAAATTGATCGGTTGAAGACTAAAAGAGGTCAAAAATAAGGCTTTGGGGGAAAACATTGTGCCACGACGTGATATGTTGATGGACTTGACGTTTCCATAGAATTCAAATGAAGAATAGTTTGGATGGGTACCATGACGTGGCAACCTAATGGTCACACCATCGTGCCTATTGTTGCCCAAGCCTAAGATTTTTAGGGTTTCCTCCATATTTAAGGACCTTAACCCTCAGTTTAGGTCATTCTCTTCAGCCTC